TTATATCTATTATATATCTAACTATCTAGGTAGTATCTCTCTCTCTCTCTCTCTCTCTCTATATATATATATATATATATATATATATATATATACACGGGATAAAGTGCTCAATATCAGAGATAGAGCGTAGGTAAATATGAATATAAAGTGAACATTGAAGCCAACACTCCGGAGGCAACAGGCTGTTTTCATGCTAGACGCAATCGTCAGGCGGCCTGACCATTGCGTCTAGCATAAAACAGCCTGTCACCTCTGAGTGTTGGCTTCAATGTCCACTATATATATATATATATATATATATATATATATATATATATATATATATATGAAGAAAAATATACAGAAAAAACAAAAATCTTAATATGCAATTATGCTGTATTAATGTTAATATAATTTTAACGTCGGACGTTTCGGTCTATTTTAGACCATCATCAGGACATATTCATAAAACATAATTAACATTAGAACATATAAAATTCAACACGAAAAGACGATGGACATAAGAGCACAACTAATCCAAACAGATAACTGAAATTTTTATATAAGATCAGCGTTCCGTTTAAATATGATCACGTCTTCGTCACGTGGGCGATGTTGTGAAAACGTATTCAAAGATGATTTGAAAATATTAAAATATTAAACAAGTTTGATTGAACTATTTTCTCATATAAACAGTTCAAGAAATCCCTTCCGTTGATATAGGAATACGCAGAGATCAATAGGTTCTTATATCTTCATACAAGCTTGTAGTCCTTCACGTTACAAAGCAAATCAAAAATGATTTCAAAATATTAGACAGGCACGATGGAACAATTTTAAATAGTTCGTTTTTTTCTGTATATTTTTCTTCATACTGTCGGATCTATATCCATATATTTGCTTACACACACACACACACACACACACACACACACACACACACACACACACACACACATATATATATATATATATATATATATATATATATATATGATCCAAAAGTATCGGGACTGTTGCTATGGTAACGGAGTTAAAATACGTATAGTCGCGCAACTTGGTACCGGTTGAGCGTTCTCGCTCGCTTTCATTTTTTATAGCGGTGTTTGGAAAGAAACTTTGTGGGATATTGTCGTCTGACCACGCCACTGAAATTCCATCAGTGACCATAGCTTGTACAGCAGTTTTTGGCCAATCAAAACATTTCCAAGGTCCGACAACCACGATATTCCCCTGATATCGTCCCTTGTCACTTTTTTCTCTTTCCAAATATCAAAATCTCACATGAAAGAAACAGGATTTAAAGACGTCGAGGAATTCCAAGAGACAGATGCTAAGGTGTCTCGAAAATGCTCCGATCAATGGAAATGACTCTGGATAAAGCGTGTCGCTTCAGATGGGGACTACTTCAATTGCGATTAAATGCCGAATTGAGATGCGTCCTAGTTTTCTTTTTATAGCACTGATATTTTCGATCAGACCGCGTATACATACACGTATATATATATATATATATATATATATATATATATATATATATATATATATATATGTGTGTGTGTGTGTGTGTGTGTGTGTGCATGCACTCGTATATTGGAATTTATTATTAAATTTAGATTTCGCAGTTAAATCTCATTATTGAATTATTCTGCTCACCAGTAGTTTTATTCTTTTATTCCAGCGTCTGGTGACGAATCTCTTCTCGTGCTGAAAATGCTGGGGAATTTCTTTAATTCTATCAAAGAAGACATATATTTTTTAAATTGTTTTCTTTTCTGTAAATTCTTGGGTAATAATTCTTTTTTCGTTGGCGACATTCAATCAGTTAGACGAACAAAGAGAAAGAAATCTTCGCTCCACATTGGCTGGTTTGGCTCAGGAGTAAAATAGCGGACGAAAACTAAAAGGTCAACCACTCACTTGACAAGAACTGTTTCGACATTTGATGGAGAGTTGAAAGACGCTTTCGTGCAAAGGGACCAAATATTACAACTACTACTGCTACTACTACGCTATTTATATTCGGACTAGTGTCCTCATCTTAGTTGTTGTTATTTCAACGTTTCAGTCGTTGTGCCTCGGCCTTCCGAACTGGACCCTTTATTTAATCGACTGGGAGTAAACTTCTCGTTCCACTGCTCATGTCTAGGGATACCTCTTCCAGTTCCTATTTTATTTAGCACTGTTAAGTTGTTGCTCACCCGTTTCCGCTGAGTGTAATTACACACTGCCCCGAGTGAGGACGGCCGGTGGCCAGACGACTGAAACGTTGTGATAAAAACATGAGGACAATAGTCCGAATATAAATAGTGTAAACAATGATAAGTTACTCATCCCAGAAATTCGGACAAAAAATTCTTCTATTACTTCTTTTACCTTCTATGTGCCATGTCTCTTCTGGACGTTGGAGATCATGACTCTCCACAACTTTCTGTTTTTTGTAGCTTTTAATAAATTTTGTTTTTTTTTTGCTATCTCTCCCAAACATTTAATCAAGCTCGCCAGGTAGCTTGTGCGTTGTTTTTCTCTGTCCCTATTGCCTTCAGTCTGTCCTGTGGGTATTAAATTTTCCAATCAATTTTATCTGTGTGTGTGTGTTTGTGTGTGTGTGTGTGTGCGTGTGTGTGTGTGTGTGTGTATTTTATTTTCAAGTTACTATATACCTTTAAAGTTTGAAAAGTTTTAAAGTTTACCTAAACTTACCTTTAAACATTGCTGTGATGGTCTACTGCCGCCGTGATCGTATAGTGGAGCCACACAGTAGTAATTACTGGAAGTCATGGAACTCCTCCGAAGCAGTGCTGCTGTTTGGGAGGGGTGATAATGGCGTACTGGTGGGAGAAAGTTGTGGCGGTGGTGACGAGTCGGGGTCGCTTTCATGAGCCGCCTGTTAGGGCTGGAAGAACGAATCCAACTTTGTTTCCCACTTTGATACTGTTCGCGAATTATCAATTCGTAGGTGTTGATAATACGCCTTAATTTCCCTATTCTTGGTTACATCAACTAATTTTTAGGATAGTGACAATAGAATCGCGCATGTTAGACATTCTCGGTCGTTCCATCACCCCCTTCTCCGACTTACTACTGCTAGTGATGGGCTTGACAAAAAGCAATCCTGTATACTGTATCAAAATCAGTATAAAATGTTCAACAGACGATGCATATGTGTACAGGATGAGCGCTCAGGTAAACAACAGCGGCCATTCCCGGAACTACAAGTCTGTTGATTGCGCCAATTCTGGGTCTAACGGACTTTGTATCCTACGCACGGGCGCTTTGAGCTCCAGCCGGACACTACCATTTCTACGGATTCTGTCCGTTAAATTCGGAGTCCGTTGGTTCCGGGACCGTTACTTTGAGGTTTTACTGTATGTATATTCCTGCCATATGTGGGCCAGAGCTCTCCGATACTTACTTTTCAGCTTTGACAGACCCCTACCCACGAAGTGGTTATGCGGTCTTGTAGGTGACACATTTCGACCCTACTGTCCACAGACGCAATCTCGCAAGCCTCTCGCTACTCTGTGATGAAATGAGTAAGATCTAATTTTAAAGAAATACAGTTTAAGTAAAAAAAAAAAAAAAAAATAGTGCTGCATTCATATGAGGTACATGAATCATATTCTGCCCCGCCAATGGCTAAATTGGCTGAAATAATATCCACTGTTCTGATGAAGCTGTTTAAACATGTCAGAATAGGAGTTCTAAAAAGTGCCAAAGATATTTACCGTTCCGTCGGATTTTCATGCCTATTCGAATCATTCTGTAATTTGCTTTGTGCATCGTTGTAAATTTTTAAACATTATGAAGAATTGATATAAATCTTTGGTGATTGATTATTAACTTTGAATCAATAAAGTTATTTCGTGATCCAATCTATTTTCATGACCTGTTTGATGAATAACCAAAAAACAAAGGAAAAAAAAAGAATACAATATTCACGATGTTATTGTTTCTTCACGAGATTTGGAAAAAAAACAAAGAAAAGACAAAACAACCCCCCCCAAAAAAAAACAAAGCATCCTTTCGGCCATATTCTCTTTTCGAACAGAATGAGCTAGCTCCATAATAAATGTTTAGATTTGTTTAAAATTGTCCTTACGGTTCTATCATTGGTTATGGTGAACGGGCTTTCTTAAGTTGGTGTGCCTCCCCCCCCCCCAACCATCTTCTTATTTTCGAGGCTTTACTTAGGAGCAAATAACCTAAAGCGCAGATTTTCCGGGTTGGCGGCATTAATTCGAAATAATTTGTATTCAAGAGTGGAAAAAAAATCACTCGAATAGCGAATTAGTGGGGAGGGGTGAAGAAAAAAAATTAAACTTGAAGACATTCCCCAACCCCCCGACATTTTTTATTCTTTACTTTTCGTTTCTTTTTTTGGTCCCACAAAATCAAGTATGCCAGAAATAATTTGTACATTTTAAACTTCGTTTACATATCTGTGGCTGTATTTTTTTTGTGTGTGTGTAAGTGGGGGGGGGTTCATGGTCCTTTTTATTTATACATTTATTAACTACACACACACACACACACACACATATATATATATATATATATATATATATATATATATATATATATATATATATATAGCTTTTTCCCTTATATAAGACTCGAGGGCTTCTGTAATCTTCCCATGCCTTCAAGGTAGGTTATGACGAAGTGCCTGTCGTGTTTTAGGCCTGTGTACATATACATACAGGCCGAAACATAATGTGATAAACAGTGAAGTAAATAATAATAATAATAATAATAATAATAATGTAATTCCATGCAATTTCGTTCGTTTTCCTCTTTTTCATTTGCAGCCTTTTCTATTTCTCTTTCTCATCCTGACTCTTCTTCCCTACATTTCATATTAAATCTTTTTCTTCTTTACTCCTCCTCCGCCTCCTCCTTTCCCCTCTCTCTCTCTCCTTAATCTTTTTCTTTCTCCTCCTCCTCCTTATTCAGTTTGGCCCATCTTCTAATTTTCTCCCCACCCCCTGCTCTCTCCAGCGCCATTTCATTTATAGTTTTTTCTTCTTCACTCCCCCTCATCTCCACTCACCTTACTCCTCCTTCACTTGCTCCTCCTCCTCTTGCTTCTTCTCCTCTTGCTCCTCCTCCTCTTCTTCCTCTCCCTCCGACTTTATTTACTTTGCCCTATCTTTTCCACCTTGCTCCTTTCTGCGCCTCTTCATTTGAAATCTTTATCCTCCTCTTTTCCTTATACCCCTCCTCCTCTCCTCCTTCTCCTCTTTCCCCTCCTCTTCCTCCCCTTCTTATTCACATTGCTCCATCTTCTTCTAATTTTCTACCCTCACCAGCTACTTTCCGTTCCTCTTCATTCTTAATCTCTTTCATTTTCTTTACTCCTCCTCCTTTCCTTTCTCCTTCTACATCATCCTTCTCTTCCTCCTTCAACTACTTTTATCCTCCTCTTCCTCTTTCCCAATCCTTCTCCTCATCCTGATGTACTTTTGCCCATTTTTTTCACACCGCCTGCTCCTTTCCGCTCCTCTTCATTTCTATTCTTTTTCTTCTTTACTCCTCCTGCTTCCTTTCTTCTTCCACCTCTTCTTTCTGTTCCTCCTCCTCTTCCTCTTCACCCCCCTGTTCTTTTTTCTCTATTCTCCGCCTCCTTCTGCCCTTCCTTATTCACTTTCGCCCATCTTCTAATTTTCCACCCTTGCCTGCTCCTTCCGCTTCTCTTCATTCTTAATCACTTTCATTTTCTTTACTCTTCCTCCACATTTCCTCTCTCTTTTCACCGCCTCTTTCTCTGCCTATTTCTACTCTTCTTTGTCCCCCTCCTTTTCTTTTCCCGTTCCCTTATTTCCGTCCTCCTTCTCCCTCCCACTTATTCACTTTTCCCCAGCTTCTTTTAATTTTCTTTCCCCGCCCCCTCCTTCATTATCGTCCCTTTTCCCTCTTCCATTCATCTTACACCCTTCTATTATTTGTTTTTCTTCTTTTTTTTTTTTTTGTATTCTTCACTCACCATAACCACATCCTTCCCCTTTTCTTTTTCTTTCTATGGAGATTCTTTATCCGCCTCCAGCTACAATTTACTGTTCATGGGGAAACTCGCTATCAGCCATTTGCTCCAGCCGCCAGGCAAACTAGGGCCTCCTTTTGGGCACTGCGGAGCTCCTTTTCCTGATTCTTCCTTCAGCTAATGTCACACACATATCGAATACTGGCAAGAATGCCATAATTAGTCCAACATTTTATCCGCATTGTTTTCATTGCTCTGCGAGACGATATTGTTTATTCTACAGCAATCATTTACTTATTTTTACATTTCTTTATTCTCAATTAATAAAGCATTGTTTATATCAGGTAGGCAACAAAAGAGCATCATCAGTTAAGGCCTAGCAGACGAGAATGGCGTGGTTACTCTGACATTAGGTTTGCACAATAATCCATCTTACATATTTATAAGTCTACCATTCGTCTTTGCTTGAATATTGCTGTCAAATCTAGTCTGGAGCCTCTATTATGTATTTAGAGATTCTTGATAAAAATACAAAGAAGAATATGCAATATTATTGGTTCCGACCTGTCATTTCGGCTTCGGTCACTTTCCCATCACCGTACTGTAGCCTCCCTGTGGGTTTTCTATATATATTTTCATGGTAATTTTTCTGATGAACTTTCCTCAGTGGCATTGTATATACAATTTTAATCATTGTAAATATTCATTGGGTTTTCATTTTTAAAAGTTGTTACTTTTTATCGCCCCCTCGAAAAATTGTACATATGGGATCTAGTTACGCCTTCAGAGTGACTTTGAGGTATTAAGTTAGCAGTAGTAAGTATGGTAAGTAAGAATCAGCTCTAATCAGTGTAAAGAATACTATGGCATTTGGCTCAGTAATTGTGGCTGGCTAAGTTTAAGATAATATATATTGAAGACTAGTATTTCTCTATCCATCTTTTGGCCTTGTGTCACATTTTTGTATTTTCGAAATAAATATTACTTTCCTCTTTCGTACCTAGATATTATGAATTTAAGCAATAGCAGTAATAGATTGGTTGCGAGGTCTAATCATCTTACTGTTGAAATGGCTCGATGTAACCGTAAGTTCTATGCTAACAGTTTCTTCTCTTGCACTTCTCGCTTGTGGAACTCTCTTCCGGTTCGTTGCTTTCCAGTCAACTTTGATCTTCAGAAATTGAAATGCAGTGTTGATTATTATCTTCTGTTCTTTTATTTCCTGTTCTTTTATTGCTCTCTTTCCTTAATAATGTTTTCATTTTCTCATTTTCTCTAACACTCGGTAATCCCTTGCGTCTTACCAGATTTATTGCCGTGCTTCGTGAAAAAGATTTTTAAAAATACTAATGTTCATCAACTACAAGAGCCACGCAATGTAGATGTGAAACTTTGATTCAAGGATGAGAACAGATATTCTAATCCTAGCCGATAATGCTGATCCATTTTTCAATAAACACTTCAATTTTATGGGTACTATGCTGGGTAAATTAGTACTCCAATTATCAATTCTAATTCTACAGTATATATATATATATATATATATATATATATATATATATATATATATGTGTGTGTGTGTGTGTGTGTGTGTGTGTGTGTGTGTGTTGAATATATATATGTATTCTATTGAATAGATATATAAATAGATATATAGATATATATGTATATATATGTATATTCTATTGTAAATATATATATATTCTATTCTATATATATATGTTCTATTATATATGGTCTGCCATATATATATTCAATATATATATATGTGTGTGCGTTCTACTGTAAATATATATTATATTGTAATGTATATATATATATATATATATATATATATATATATATTCTATGTATATATTCTATTGCATATATATTTTCTACTACATATATTTTATATATATATATATATATATATATATATATATATATATATATATATATCAATGCCCAAGAGTCACTCAAGATAGAGGATTATTCTGTATTGTTATATGAGCCTAAGAAAAGGCAACAAGTTAAATTAATTGGCTTATGCAGAAAAATAAAGTTTAATGCTTGAATTGGAGAGGTCAAGATTGTAGTGATTGGGAAAACATCCTGCCAGGTGTCTGTTCCACAAAGCAGCAGTCCCTGAGAAAATGTCCAAATGGAAGCTATTTCTTATTAATGGAATACGAAGTGAATAAGGATGACGGGTCTCAGTTGACAAGTTTAGGGTTGGTGGAGCCAAGGAATTACCTTGTCAGGACACCTTTTTTTTTTTAAAGCAATTCACCCCAAGCAGAGCGGGAGTTCCACTAGCACGCAAGGGGTTACAGAGGATTGAGACCAAGAGTAAAGAGGCATGTTTGAGGAAAGGATACAGAGAAGGACGGGAAAACAAGCTCAGGGTGTCAGATGTCGATTGACATTACACTTGAATATTTGAAGATTATAGTCATCGGGGAAGCAAGTAAGGGGAAGGGAGTTCCACAGACGGGAAGTGCGGGAGAAGAAGCTTTTTGAGAAGAGACAGTTACATTTAACCGTTTTGACAGTGAAAGGGTGGGACCGAGGTGCCAGCCTGGTAGCTGGGTTAAATTCATGCAGTTTGTGAACCAGCAAAAGTAGATCGTCTGAACAGTTGCCGTGAAAATACTTGTAAGAAAGACAGGGAGAAACCACGACACGTCTGTGAGAAAGCGACTGTAGACTAGATGCCAGATTAGGGCCTCTCACATTACATATTCGTCTCTGGATTTTGTCGAGGAGCTGGAGTCGTAAGAGCGGGGCCAACACTCTATATATGACAGCAGTATTCCATGCAAGGGCGAATGTTTGATTTATAGATTTGAAAGATGGCCTCAGACGAGAAAAACTTTCTGGCACAACATAGAGAACCAACTTATTTGTTATAGAAATAGTGATAAAGTGATGAAAGGCACGTGAAGTCTTGTCTACGGGGAAAGTCGTTGTAGGTTGGGAAATAATTCATCACCTACAAAGCCGAGTATATCAAAACAAGTAAGTGAGGACTGGACGGCTACAACCCAGATATTGTAGCAATGCTCCATTTTTGGTCTGATCTGGCTCTTGTACTGGAGCGGTACAATGAATCGACAATTTGCTGACGTTACGCATGCTTCAGCTATATTTCAGTATACAAATTGTTATGGGATCTTACCTATAATAATAATAATGAACTATTCTATACTTAATAAATACGGCGCCCCAGGAGTAGGCGGGAGTTAGTCATTCACTTCTGAACCGACTGTTCGGTTGAACTCTCTCCCTTCGGGTGAGGAGGAACCCGAACGAGGCTACGCCGAGGGGCGAAGTCTGGTTCGGGGAGGTAAACAGGCCCTGAGCCCATTTATACGGGTTCAATGGGCATATTTTTGAGCTGAGCCCACGGGCTCGGAGAACCCACAATAAATAACCGACCTTGTGTCACATGATGCCCCAGTGTGTGTGTGTGTGGGGGGGGGTTGACTGAATATCGTCAGTCGTTCACTTCTGAACAGACTGTTCGGTTGAACTCTCTGCCTTCGGGCAGGGAGGAACCCGAACGAGGCTTCGACGAAGGGCGGACCCTGAACCCGTTTATACGGGTTCAATGCGTATATTTTTGGCTCGGATATCCCACACTAAATAACCGACCTTGTGTCACATGCTGCCACAGGGGGGGGGGGCGATTGAATATCGTCAGTCGTTCAAGTCTTGACCGGCTGATCGGTTGAACTCTGCCTTCGGGCGGGGAGGAACCCGAACGAGGCTACGCCGAAGGGCGGAGTTTCTTTCGGGGAGGTAAACCGACTCTGAACCCGTTTATACGGGTTCAAAGGGCATATTTTTGGCTGAGCCCACGGGCTCGGAGATCCCACATTAAAAACGGCCTTGTGCCACATGATGCCCTCGTAGGGGGTGACTAAATACTGTTCCGTCTGAAGTCTGGAGTTCAGTCTGAAGTCTGCAGTGAAGTCCGTCAGGAGTCAGTCAGTCAGTCAGTCAGAACGAGTCAGTCAGTCGAGTCAGAGGCAGTCCGAAATAGAGTCGCGTTCAGACAATTACTACTAAACCTGATTGTTCGTACTAACACTTCTACTTCTCTGTATATATTCCTGTTTGTAATATATCTGTGTTATTCCATATACGTGTTCGAGTTCTTCTTTATTGGTTCTACCTTGGACTATCACCGTGGTACAAGGAACCGGACCATAACAAACACAAAGAACACTTAATATCGGAAAGAGACAGTTGAAATTTCTAAGACGCATAATGAGGAAGGAGAGCTAGGAAAATTGGACACTCACAAGACATATTAAAGGCAAAGATGACAGAAGAAAGCAGCAAATAATCTACCTAACGTGCTTGTGTGAA